AAAAAAAAATGAAAACCAACTGTCATAATTCCTTTCGGCGGGTGCCTGCTATAAAACAAAACCCCCGCTACGTCTCGCCCAACCATTAGCTCCGATTTTCCTCTTGAAGTGAAGACATCAGAAGTAGCCAAAGGTCAGCGGAGGTCTTCAGTAATGATCCACTAAGACCCCCACTCCGTTTTCTTAAGCACTCCGCTCCAGTCGACGAACGTCTCCGTGGAGAAGGAAGTTAAGCTCTCTATCCCCTCAATCAACTAGTCGCGTGCGAGAGAGCCCCCCAGAAAACGAAACACACGAGTATAAGGAAAAGAGTGTAGGGGCATAAATCAGTAAAAACAGCACCGTAAGTGCCATTTTTCAATTGGCTTAATGCCGCTTAAGCTGTAAACGGCCCAATATTGTTCCGTGTTTAGTGTAGAAAATATAACCCACCCTCTTCGTTCTGGGGTTAAAAAGAGAAAAAAAAAAAAAAGAGATGGGGTGGGAGGGTTGTAATTGTTCACGACCATGACTTTCTACACTTCCCTTCCAGAAGATCTCCCGGCCTGAAAATTACTTGCTCTGTGCCAAGGACCTCAAGGACCGAAAGCTACGACTTTAAAATGACGTTTAACAAGAAAGAAGAGGGAAAGACACAAACAAAACAAAATAAGGAAACAGAAAAAACCCCAACAAACTAACAGCAATAAGGAAGAGAACAAAGCGTGTAGGCGAGGGCGCAATCATACCGACGGCAGTAAGATACACATTTTTACGAGCAGTTACTTTTAAAACTAATTCGCATTCGTACGCGAAAGCACATACATAGGGGGCTATTAGACTTAGACTTTTTTTTTAGACTTGACGAGTTGAACAAAAAAAATGGAGGGGTGAAATATGTGCTTGTGCTATACATCATGTGCAGGTAACTGAAAGCCAATTAGGTTTCTTTTCCTTGGTTAGAAGGGTTAGAAGGGTGAAAGGGGGGGCACTGGTGAGAATGTCAGCGATGAACGTTGACTGGATCGCCTTAAGGATAGATATATGGACCAATTCTGAGATATACTGAGCGTAGTGCCGCCGGCTATGAACTAAATGGGAACCTTTAATGGGGTGGTAGGCGAAAGGATTCGCGAATGCCTAAATTCCTATAAGGTAACTGTGTACATCTACATGTGAGGCGTGGAAATGACTCTACGTTGGTGTCGTACACAGTCCTTTTTTTAAAGTCTTAGTAAAGCAAACCACACCAGAGCACCCGCCAACCACCCACGTACACAGTCCGCGTGAACAACAAACTTCCATATTTTACAGGAGATGAAACTAAACACACCTGCTTTTGTTCTACAAAAACCTAAAAGAAGCTGCAAACCGACCCTAGATTGCGATCTCTAACTATCTGTAAATGGTACATATTTCACCCCACCTCTGCCTAATAAGTCTTACAAAGCATAACACCGAAATGCACCTGCCCTTTTTTTCTACAACAACCTAAAAGAAGGAAAAGCTGAAGACCACAGTCGGACTGGGACCTCCAATGACAAAAAGCACTCGAATTTGTGCGAACGGAATGTGCTCGAGTTCAAGGTAAAGAAAAATACACCAAGACAATACATGTCACTATGTTCTGGGGAAAAAACTCAAACCAAGACAGATCGACAGAAACAGAAGAGGGGCAGTAGAAGAATAGGACCAAACAGTGACACCTTCCAACCACCCACAAGAGTACAGGTTAAAAATCTTATGACGAAGCAGCTATGCCACAGTGTATGACGGCTAAGTCACTCACAAACCTCGGGCCGTCTCCAGACACAACAACGGGGCTTCGAGCCAGGGGGGGTCACGATTTTTTTTTCTTTGCGTGTGTGTGTATGGGGCGGGGTTGGTTGATGATACCTCTAATTAGAATACTCACATCTGGGAAACAAGGTAATATGTCAGGTTTTCGTACTTAAATAATGGACCACCTCAAACTCCAACTGTATTCTAAAAATTCAAATATATCGGTATGTAAGTACATTAGCACCTTCGAACGTACACACACAGACAGAGGATTATTGCCTCCCCCCCTCCTTCTCTCTCTCTCTTTCTCTCTGTGTC